CTTGGGCTATGCATATCTCTATATATAAAAGCCTAAGTGACCTTTACAACCGGTTGCCATGATGCACACTGACCACCAGGGGGCAGACACTCAACGCATGAGCTGCCCCCTGGTGGTCAGTGCACTCCCACAGCCAACCTCCCCTGGCCAGCCCCGATCAGCCCCAATTGGCCCTGATTGCGGGCCAGGCCAAGGAATCCCACCCATGCACAAATTCTTGCACTGGGCCTCTAGTATGCATATAATTTCTTTGGTTAATCTCTTCCTGTCCCTCCACCCCACTCCCTTCTGAGATCTGTCAGTTTGTTCCATGCATCCACTGTCTTTTTAAATAGTTCACGTAAGCTACGCATTAGAGCAGATATATTAGATAAATTCTAAGAAACTAAGCATGATTCTTAAAGTTGACTATTTTCCCTCATTCCTATGCTTTCTGCCCTCTGATAGTAATTACCCCCTACTTTAGTCATTTCCCCCATTAATAGTGCAAATGGCTAGCGTTTATTGAACACCACCTGTGTCGAGCACTGTGCTGTGCATTACATATGTTTTCTCATTTAATCCTCACTACAGTCCTATCTATTAGACTCTTGTTATTTCCTCTTCCTAAATGAGAAGGCAGGAACCTAGAAATCTTAAAAAGCTTTCCCAGGTCTCACAACAAGGTTTCACACCCAGATCTGTTGGAAGCCAAGACCCCCAAGAAATTACTGATGATGATACAGAAATAAATGGCCCATGGAAAAGTAGGGAAGATGTTTTGCAATTTCTCCTGGGACAACTTCTTACTCCTACATTTATTCCTTCCATCCTCATCCATCTCTCCTATTTGATTTCTATAAGGGAGTATTTCTCCAGGCAAAGAACACTTCTGACCTCTGAAAGAGAAAGAGAATGGAAAGACAGCTCATATTTTCCTTCGGGTTGGAAGATATTTTGCAATGACCTTTATCAGTTGTTTTAACAAATGATGTCATGGTAGCCTGGTCTAGTATGTGCGAACGCTCAGATATGCCCATGTGACCAGACATTCTCGGAGGACAATGTCTCCATTTCTACTCTCTGAAGTGGAGATTTCGAGTGGATGCTGGTACCATGCAAAAGGGGACTATCTTTGATATTGTCATTTTACAGATGTACTATATTTTCCAGCTGCTAACCTGAGATGTGGAAATAATGATCTTGAGCTTCATTCCACCCTCTGTTAGAGCTGAACCTTGTAATTTTGCTCGTCAGATTTGCAAATGAAGGTTATCTTATACTGTTTAGCTTGGGTAAATGTTATCACTGTGGGTGGTTGTACACCTCCTGTCATGCTGATGGGAAGCTTGCCTGCCTGCGTTCCCCGGGCCTCCTGCCGAAGGAGAAGCTGTGCAAAAGGCCCTGGAAATCTAGGGAGTGAGCAGTTAGGAAGAGGATGGCAGGAACCAGAGCATCCACCTACAATGTCTCCGCTTCCCTGGTTCTTGAGAACTTAAGCATCAGTTCCCTTACTAGCAACAAGAGGGGCCTTATTACAGTGCTTTACAGATTACAAAGCACTTTCACGAATATTATCTTAGCTTAGTAAGCACAGTAGCCCTGTGAGATAGGCTTCATTATCCTCATTTTCTATGCTGGGAAACTGAGTTCTATTAAATGGGAAAATCTAATTCCAACGAGGTTTTCCAACTGGAAATCCAATGTAATTTCACCAGCCTAGAGCTTGCCCACTGTGAAGGATAGTGATGGAAACAGGTATTACGGGCCTCAGAAATTCCCATGTTCCTTCCCCCCACCCCAGCCTTCTCTGCCCTCAGCTTTATACCCCTCACTCCTTTTGCTTCAGTCACCTGCTTTCTTGCTGTTGCTTGAGCACTCCAGCCACATTCAGGGCTCAGAACCTGGAATCCTTCTCCCCAGATAGTGGCACAGCTCATTCTCTCACTTCCCTCCGGTCTCTGCTCAAATATGACCTCATCAGAGACCACCGTCCCTGGAAGCCCCATGGAGTAGTGGTCCTCATTACTCCCTGTCTGCTTTACCTCAGTGCACCGAGGATGGGGTGGAGGGTGCCCAAGCACAGACCAACAATGAGGAGACACTAAAACTCAGTCTGCTTTTTATTATCACTGTGCACCCAGAATTCTAAATGTTGCTGATGAAATACTCTCCTGAGAAAAAAAAAAACAAAAAAAACCTTTGGTTGGTCTAAGTTCTAAACAATTTCTGTGATTACTTTTGAGTTATAAAAATCTATGTGTACACTTTAAATTAGCACATTTTATTACTTATCCTTTAGCAAGCATGGTGTTCTATTTGGAAGTTAACTTAGAGAACTCTAAACAATATAATTAGCACCATGGCTATCCGTGTTTGTACGTAAATTTGTAACAGTTCAGAGTCATTCGAGCTTGCTTTGAGAGTAGTTGGAATTCCAACTCCTGTGATATAGACGTATTTCTATGTAAGAATCAACGATGGGCAGCAATAAATGGACAAATCTAGCTACAATAGTCCCCCCTTATCTGCGGTTTGCTTTCCGAGGTTTTGCATTCTGCGGTTTCAGTTATCCACAGTCAACTGTGGTCCAAAAACTTAAATGGAAAATTCCAGGAATAAACAATTCATAAATTTAAATTGCACACCATTTTGAATAACGTGACAAAGCCTTGTGCCGTCCCACTCCATTCCACTACCAATGGGAAGCATCCCTTTTCCTGTGTGTCCACACTGTAGTAGCTCCCCACCCCTTAGTCACTTGGAGGCCTTCTCTGTTATCTGTCCACTGTCCTATTATCACAGTGTCTGTGTTCAAGTAACCCTACTTTACTTAACACAATATTTCCATAACTTGTATTATAATTTATTGTTATAATTGTCCTATTTTATTATTAATTGTTGTTAATCTCTTACTGTGCCTAATTTATAAATTAAACTTTATCATAGGTATGTATACATAGGAAAACACATAGTATACATACTTAGGGTTCAGTGTAATTCTGAATTTCAGGCATTATCTGGGGGTCTTGGAACATACACCCAATGGAAAAGGGGGGACTACTGTATATTCAATTGAATATGCAAAAAAGATATATTTTGATGAAATCATTGACAAATTTGCAGCAGTTAGGCTTAAAAACAGAAGCCATAAATTTATTCATTTATGTGAGAGACCAACATTTCCTCTTTTTCTAAAAATATACATTAATATATTTTAAAATTTTAATCTATTTTTCCTTTTTTAGTATTTAATTATCTTTCATTATTTTTTATTAATTTTTTTTACTCACATGATTATAAATATAAAGTTCAGCAAAACAAAAATTTCATTCTCTATTTTGCTTTTCTGGACATTATTAACATGTTTTGTATTAGTTATCTATTGCTACATAAAAAATATTATCACAAACTTAGCAGCCTAAAAGGACACACTTTTACTATCTCATAATGTCTGTAGGTCAGGAGTGAGGCTGTGGCTGGCCTGGGCTCTCTGCTTCAGGGTCTCAGGCTGCCATCAAGTTGTCAGCTGAGGTTAGTCTGGGACGGATCCGAGTTGGCTGTTGGCAAGATTCAGTTCCTCATGGGACATTGAACAGAGGGCCTCTATCTCTTGCTGGATGTTGGCCAGAGGCTGCCCTCAGCTCCTTATCATTAGGCCTTCCCAGCATGGCCCTTGCTTCCTCAAAGCCAACAAGAAAGAGAGCCTCCAAGCAAGATGAGTAACAACCTTATGCAACATTATCACTTCCCATCACCTTGCCTTAATCTGTTGATGAGAAGCAAGTCACACGTCCTGCCCACTCACAAGGGGAAGAAATTACACAAGGCATGAGCAGCAGAAGGTGGGTATCATGGGGTTCCCTGAGTGTCTGCCTGCTACATGTTTCATTTCATGATTATTAAATACTAGGTGCACATCATAGTGACTGGTCGTTCCAGTCATTCTGGTCATTCCGTCATCCGGTTGCTTGGCTTTTATATATATAGATAACTTTTCACATATTCATTTTGCCACATAAAGGAGAACAAATTAAGAAATAATCTGCTCTGGGTATCAAATACACTAGGTCCACCAGTGCCCTTACCCTACTTGATTTTATTCATAGCACTTGCCTAATTTATTGTATATTTTTATTGTTTTATATAACTTTTTTTTTAATATATTTTATTGATTTTTTACAGAGGAAGGGAGAGAAGGATAGAGAGTTAGAAACATCGATGAGAGAGAAACATCGATCAGAGGAAGGGAGAGAGATAGAGAGTCAGAAACATCGATGAGAGAGAAACATCGATCAGCCGCCTCCTGCACATCTCCTACTGGGGATGTGCCCGCAACCCAGGTACATGCCCTTGACCAGAATCGAACCTGGGACCTTCCAGTCCACAGGCCAACGCTCCATCCACTGAGCCAAACTGGTTTCAGCTTATAAAACATTTAATTAATTAATTATATTAATATATAATAAGAAATATATATTTAATTAATATATTTTTTATATAATTTTATACAGTGCTTATGTATTTCATATGTTATATATTAATTTGTTCATTGCAATCTCCCCTTTATATCCTTCCTGAGAGCAGAACTTTTTTTTGCTGTGTTCACTGTATTCAGCACCTAGAGATCTGGCTAGTGCATAGTAGGATCTTTGTAAATATTTGGTGGATAAATATGTGTAATCTTCAGAAGCATTAATTTAGAAAAATAGTAGCCTCTCCACATGTTTTTCAATCTCATAGATATTTCAGTTAATTTTTATTATTGTGGTTTATGTGTACTTGTTTTAAAATAAAAATCATAGTACAAGGCTTTCATGGAGAAGAGCAGTCCTCTCTATGCGCCAGCTGCTCCCCAGAACCAACTACCCTCAAGTCTTTTCTTTCTTGCCCCTTACTTCTCCCTCCTCGTTTCTAAATAATTTGTATCTCTAACCCTGTACTTCATCGATGTGATGCTAAAATAGCTGAATGAAAAGTAAGATTTGGGCCAATGGCCCACAATTTTTTGTTTCAGTAATACTGAATGGCAGTTCATGGTAACAGATCTAGCTTCTGGCTATGCTGCAGTTTGGAAATTTGTAGCTTCTGGCAAGAATTCTACACCTCTCAGGCAGAAGAGGTGAAACTGACTTTCTGAAATTTTCTTTATGGGTAAGAATGGGGTTAAAGAACAAGCCCAGAAGGTGACCAGGAACAGTAATTTAAGTGTGTGCATGAATCCTCCAGATTCAAAGACAGCACACTCTGCAGGAAGACAGAGTTTAGAGCAAAGAAAGGACTACTGTTTTTGGAGATGGATGCTGCTTTGCCCATAATTCCAGATAAATAGATGATAGATGATAGATAGATAGATAGATAGATAGATAGATAGATAGATAGATAGATATAAATCCCACAAAATCTGGTTGACAGCAAAGGGTTAGAGATCTGATTATGACAGAAGAGAAGGACTTAAATTTTATGAGACCTGAGAGAGAGTTACCCTCTGTAACCCTGGACAAGTGAAAGAGAATCAGAGGCACATTTAAAAAATATATATTTTTTTATTTATTTCAGAGAGGAAGGGAGGGGGATAGAAAGATAGAAACATCAGTGATGAGAGAGAATCATCAATCGGCTGCCTCCTGCACACCCCACACTGAGGATCGAGCCCACAACATGGGCATGTGCCTCACTGGGAATCGAACGGTGAACTCCTGGTTTGGAGGTCAAAGCTCAACCCCTGAGCCATGCCAGCTGGGCCAGAGGCACATTTTAAAAGCCACTATCATTTGGGTTTTCTGTTAAATGCAGCCAAACTTAACTCCTAACTGATAGAGATTCAAAAGCGTCTGCTACCTTAGGATTATACCCAGTCTTAAAATACCAAACAAGTTGTATACTGGACTGCACTCACTCTCTCTAATCTCAAAGAAAATTATCCCAGACCATGAGTGTTGCAAAAATACCAGACCATTTGACTTTTCTACCCTTCCCATTGCCATAACGATAGGACCTCTTTCATAGACCTACTGGCTCAGAAATGAATGTTCCACTGCTGGTCCCTTTTCTTAAACAGGCTGTCTTTCCTAAAGTAAACAGCACGCAGCTGTTTCCATCCTGCTAAATGAAAGAAGACTACCATACTCAGAACGGAAATTCCAGGAACTTGCATTTTAATTAACATGGAAATAATTTCCACGGAATAAATATGTATCTGAAGCTTATGCAGTCCCAGGGAACAATGGGGACAAATGCAGATTGATCTAATCTGGTTGCAGTTAGGAACATGAGTGTGTGTTGGGGAACATGGTGTGGAAAGTTGACATTCAATCCAATTAGGAAGGGCAAAGTAAAAATGATGAAAGCAATTTCCCTCGTCCAGTTAAATTAGTCATCCAAATAACAGGCTAAGCTTTGACCTTCCTGGGAAGGGTCAGACTGGCTTCTAATGGTCATTAAATAAAGAGGCAGCCTATTCTTGCAACTGTTTAATATGCAGGACTTACGGAAATATACTTTAGGTTAAAAATCAGCCAAGGAAAAGTTGGCAAGAATTTCTCTAATGTATTCTTATTGTTTTTATTTATCATTTTTTAATTTGGAGAAACAGAAAGAGTGCATCAGACTAAAGGGAACATGGGGTCTAATAAGCAAAATGCAGAGGTCACTTTCTACTTCTTGCAAATTTGTGTGGCAGATGCTAAAGTAAGGAGGTTTTTAAAAAATAGCTTCTCAGGGTGCTCCTCCAAGGTCTCACTTGAAACAGTTGAGGTGCACCATTGGCATTTGTAAAGATACACAACTCCTAGCCCGGCCGGTGTGGCTCAGTGGTTTAGCGTCGACCTATGAACCAGGAGGTCATGGTTCTATTCCTGGTCAGGGCACATGCCCGGGTTGTGGGCTCGATGCCCAGTGTGGGGTGTACAGGAGGCAGCTGATCAATGATTCTCTCATCATTGATGTTTCTATCTCTCTGTCTCTCTCCCTTCATCTCTGAAGTCAATAAAAATATATTAAAAATAAAGATACACAACTCCTTAATCAGACTGATGACTAGAGGTTAAGGATCCCCTTGATTCTGCCCTAGGCTCTCATTCCCAGCTACTGTTGCTTACAGGGATGAACACCTTGCCATTTTCATCCAACAGCCCATGCTATAGGTATATGCAAGTTAAGTCAAATATATTTTTCTGGCTCATTAAAGTCTAAGTTGTCATGATAAAAGCAGATTATAAACACTGAATTAATAGCACAGATTTTAAGGCTATTTTCCCCTGATTCATGCATCTCTTTTGCCCCCATTTTCTCATTCAGATTCAGATTCAACAAACATATTAGGGATTCATTAAGTGCTGAGCCCAGACTAGAGATTTCATGAAACCTTCCATTACCTGGCCTTCTAGTTGGGGGAGGTCTGAAGATATACCCTGAGATAGATGTTTTGACTCAGAATAATGCTACTTCAAAATGTCAGTGTGTTATCATCCTGGTGTGTAACTAAAGCGTGTAACTAATGCAAGAAATATTTGGAGTCATATTCTAATATTATTATTACTAGTGGCCTGGTGCATGAAATTCATGCACGGGGGAGGGGGGAGGGTGTCCCTCAGCCCGGCCTGGGACATCCCTCTTGCAATCCGGGACATTCCTCTCCAATCTGGGACATCCCTCTCGTAATCCTGAACCACTGACTCCTAACCGCTCACCTGCCTGCTTGTCTGATTGCCTCTAACCATCAGCCTGGCTTGTGTCTGAGCAAAGCTCCCCCTGTGGGAGCGCACTGACCACCAGGGGGCAGCTCCTGCATTGAGCGTCTGCCCCCTGATGGTCAGTGTGTGTCATAGTGACCAGTCATTCCCAGTTGTTCTGCTGTTAGGGTCAGTTTGCATATTACCCTTTTATTATATAGGATAGAGGCCTGGTGCATGGGTGGGGGTTGGCTGGTTTGCCCTGAAGGGTGTCCCGGATCAGGGTGGGGGTCCCACTGGGGTGCCTGGCCAGCCTGGGTGAGGGGCTGATGGCTGTTTGCAGCTGGTCATACCCCCTTCAGGGTGGGGGTCCCCACTGGGGTGCCTGCCAGTCTGGGTGAGGGGCTGAGGGCCGTTTTCAGGCTGGCCAAGCCCCCCTGGCAACGGAAGCTCCCAGCCTCTCCTTTTTTTCTTTTTATTCTGGGATTTATTTACCTTCTATAATTGAAACCTTGTAGTCTTGAAAGGAGCTCAGATCCAGCCAGGGGAGGTGGGAGGGAAGCCTCCTGCTCGCTCCATGGCCATGGCCGGCTGAAAGCAGGTATCTGGGGTTTATTTACCTTCTATAATTGAAACTTCATTGCCTTGAAAGGAGCTCAGATCCAGCCAGGGGAGGTGGGAGGGAAGCCTCCTGCTCGCTCCATGGCCATGGCCGGCTGAAAGCAGGTATCTGGGGTTTATTTACCTTCTATAATTGAAACTTCATTGCTTTGAGTGGAGCTCAGAGCCAGTGTGGCAAGCGGGAAGCTTGGCTTCCTCCATCATTGGGGCAACCAAGCCTCTTGCTTGCTACAGCTCCGTGGCTGCTGGCCGCCATCTTGGTTGGATTAATTTGCATATAGTTGCTCTGATTGGCTGGTGGGCATGGCTTAAGGCATAGC